ATCCCTCTTTCACAGCGGAGGAGACCAGGTATCTTATTTCTAGAACAATATGAGAACAAAAATGAAAAATACAATATAATATAATATAATATAATATAATATAATATAATAATTGCATTTGACTTGAATAGACAAAATAATAAAGAAACAAAGTAGAAATTAAATTAAAATTAAAAAGACCAGTATCCCTTTTTAAGTAATAGGACTTTAAACAAATGAAAAATTGCAATTTAATTTAGGTTTAATTTGGAGAATATTGTAGTAATACATGTTTAGTGAACACATAAAGATGCTTCCTATCCCTTTTCTTTCTGAAGCTTTGACAGTTTGCTATTAATTCTGTGTTACTATTTAAGGTATAAAAAATGTAGATGGATACCAAAGAATCAGCCACCATCACATTTAAATTCTTAATTGTTTGCAGGTCTTAGATTGTTGGGTTATATCACTGTGTAGACTTTCTTTTTATTGATATTTTGATAGTCTCTCAAATATGAATTTGAGTAACATGTGAATAAGTGCCAGAATAAATGTGACACCAATTTACTGAAACTAAATGTTAAATTTTCCTTTTATAAAGCTATTTTATAGATAAAATTAAAAATAATATAACATTTAAGCCAGTATAAAGTATCAATAGAATCAAACTTGTGAAAATTCAAAATTTACTAATACAGCCAACAAAATATCAATATGTTGTATGTAGCCCTGGGCTAAGTGCAACTATAGAGAAATCTAATTGTACTCTACCATTAAAGATCTCACAGCTTGTTTTGGAGCTGAGAGTAATATAAACATTGTCAATAAGTATAGTGATAATTGCTATCGTAGCAGGATGTATTGTGAGAACATAGAGCAAACACTAAACTTATGCAGGAATATCAAGGACATCATCCCTGGAAAAAATAACTTAATTTTAACCTTACAAAATAAGCATTATGCCAGTCAAGAGAAACCAAGCCAAAAATTAAAAAACAAAACAAAAACAAAAAACCTTCCCAGACAGAAGGAATCATTTTTACAAATAAATTATGTGTTGCAGTATATCTGAAGCATAGTATGGGGGGGGGGGGGGGGGGAAGAGAGAAGAGAAGTGGTTTTGAGGCTAGAAAAATTTCAGTTGGAACCAATTCTCAAAAAGTCTTGTATGCCATGATAGGAATTTCATCTTTCTTTTTTTTTTTTTTTAATATATTTTATTGATTTTTCACAGAGAAGAAGAGAGGGATAGAGAGTTAGAATCGTCGATGAGAGAGAATCATCGACCAGCTGCCTCCTGCACACCCCCCGTCGGGGATGTGCCCGCAACTAAGGTACATGCCCTTGACCGGAATCGAACCCGGGACCCCTCAGTCCACAGGCTGACGCTCTATTCACTGAGCCAAACCGGTGCCGGCAGGAATTTCATCTTTCTCCAAAATGAAATCAATGTTTTTTAATTGAAACACAAACCATTATTGTGCCAGTAAGAGATATTTCGGTCATTAAGGGCAGCTAGTAATAATGCTAAAAATAATAATAGCTTAAAGGTGAAAGGGATTTATTTTTCTCTTGTATTTTATGAAAGCCTGAGGTTGTTTTGATGTTTATGCAGTGTCACCAGACTCTTCTGTCTCACAGCTCAACCATCCTTATTATGAGGTTTATATTTCTTTATCCTCATGGTTTTATGGTAGCTGCTGGAGCTCCAGCCATCATGTCAATGCTATAGGCAAGGAAGAAGGAAGAAATATAAAGGCCAAAAGGCTATACCTCTGAGCTACCTTTAAATATTTTATAAATATATATATATATTGATAAATGAAGCCATAGAAAACATAAGCTAAATAACAGAGTATAAACCAAAGACTGAGCATAGGGCCTAAAATAAAGCCTTTATACACACTATTTATATACCTACATTTACTATAGGTAGAGCAAGAAAAACTAAAAGTGGATTTTGAGAAGTAGTTATCAAGAAAGCAGATGCGAATCAAAATAAAATAATGTATAGGAAAACAAAAGGGGAGGTAGTTTTAAGAGAGAAGATATAATAATTTTGTCAAGTGCCTCAGAGAAGTAATTACCTCTCATGAATACTGTTTGCTTGAAAAAGGGTGCTATCAGAGGGTCTAGGTTCAAAGAGTCAAAAGAGATTTTGCAAAAACAAATGATGTACTTTCATTAAACCTGTATTTATCACTGACTTCCAGGATATATTAAGTGTAAAATTAAGACCCAGGTCAGTATACATAATATTTTGCCTTCTATGTGAGAAAAGGGGGAAATTTCAATACATTTACTTGTATTAGCATAAAGAGATAATGAAAGAATATATGAATGAGCAATGAGAGCAAGCTGTCAAATATGTATCATATATTCTTTATTTCTGAATATGAATATATTACCTATACAAAATATTAAATTAATAATTTCAGAAAATTCAGTGCTATCAATGAAGAACAAGAACAAAACTATGTAAGACAACTATTTGTCTATGGGTTTAGTTTATCATGTATGCATGATAGCTGACTCCCATGCTACAAAAGAAGGACAACAGATTGATGTTAGAGGGAGAATATGAGAGTAAAAGAAAGGCACAATTGGGTTAAATGAAATAATAATGCCCTAATACACAGTAAGCATTCAAAAAATGTAATCTTATATTATCCTCAGCAAATGAGAGGTAGTTACTGGGAGGTCATAAGATAACAACAAAAGTAGTAATGGTGCCAAAACCGGAAGAGCGTAGGTCTGTGGACTGAAGGGTCCCGGGTTCGATTCTGGTCAGGGGCATGTACTTTGGTTGCGGGCACATCCCCAGTGGGGGGTGTGCAAGAGGCAGCTGGTTGATGTTTCTCTCTCATCGACATTTCTGGCTCTCAATCTCTCTCCCTTCCTCTCTGTAAAAAATCAATAAAAATATGTTTTAAAAAAAAAAGTAGTAATGGTGGTTGTAAATTGACCTAAGTTTTTAAGTTGTCTTTGATAGACAAGTGGTGCAAGTTAATAAAAGCAAAACTCAAACTATCAACTAGCATAACTAAACAGTCATTAGCAAAGTATATATAAAACAATTTACACAACTTTTTCAGTAAATTCAAGAAAGTCCCAGTTCTCCATCTTTTGAGGTTCTCTGCACCTTAAATGAAAGGTCCATACACAGCCACATTCCAGAGACAGAATTCTGTGCCTTCTGGTATTGGAGATCAGAAATGTTCCTATATCAATGGCTGGACACTAACTAGACTGGTTACAGATCAAACATGAAGTGCCATTCGTAATGTAAAAAGTATAGACCTCCCTAGATTCTTATTCTTTGTTCATGCAAGGGTTGGGACTGATTAAAATGTTTAGGCAAATCCACTTGTTTTGAATGCCTTCAACAAAGAAAGTCCATATTAAATACTTATCAGACTACTCAAAAGGCTATTATTTTTCACTAATAAAACCTATTTTGGCCATTGATTATGCTAATTAGAAAAATCTAAGCTTGATAGTATCTGCCTCAAGAAGACTGGTTCTTTATGATTAGAATATCCAGCAAACCATTCCATAATTGTCTTTTGGTCACTAGTATATTATGCTATTATTCCTTAATTGGGGAAATGGACTATCTCTAGAGTTCAAGTTTGAACTAATCCATACATATTAATATACTGGTTTTGCTTAAGCATTTTAAGGTAAATAACAAACATTGTAATAAGGGAAGTTTTATGGCATGGATTTTTCAAAGGAGAAAGCAGGAAAGACAGTTTGGAAATGCCAGGCCTTGAATTATAGGTAGTATGTAATCAGAGAAAAATCATGTCCTCACTTAAGAGGGTTTCAGGAGAAACAATATACTTAAAAGATAGCTGTGTTTCGCCAAGCCAGTGTAGATCAGTGGTTGAGCATCAACCTATGAACCAGGAAGTCACAGTTCAGTTCCCAGTCAGGGCTCATCCCCAGATTGCTGGCTCAGATTGTAGACTCAAACCCCAGTAGGGGACTTGCAGGAGGCAGCTGATCAATGATTCTCATCATTGATGTTTCTATTTCTCCCTCTCCCTTCCTCTCTAAAAAAAAAATTAAAATATATATGTATTTTTAAAAAGACAGTTGTGTTTCAATTCAAACAAGAAGGTAAGTTAGAGGTGCAAAGTAATATGTAGTTGAAGTCTATATAATGTATAACTTTGAATAAGTCAATTACCTTCTGTATGCTTCAGTTTCCTCAGTGGCAAATGGAGATTCAAATAGCATCTACCTTGTGCTCGCTTTGGCAGCACATATACAAATAGCATCTACCTCATAGGGCATTGTGAGCATTAAATTAAATAATACTTAGAAAATGCTTAAAAAATCATGCCTACAATATATAATGCCTAACTCAATATATGTTAGTTGGTTTTTCCAATAGCTTCCCCTTTTCTTCATAAGAATATTTTTGCTCAGTGGTTAGACTATTGGCCCATGGGCCAAAGGTTTGTGCATTCTATTCCCAGTCAAGGGCATGTACCTGGGAGGCAGCCAATCAATGCATCTCTCTCACATTGATGTTTCTTTTCCTCTCTCTCTTTCTCTCTCTCTTTCTCTCTTTCTCTCTCTCTTCCTAACTCCGCTCTCACTCTCCACTCTCTCTCCCTCTCTTCCATTTGAAAATCAATGGAAAAAAATATCCTCGGGTGAGGAATTTTAAAATATACATATTTATTTATTTATAAGTTTTGTCAGAAATTTATTTAACTCTGAGATGAAATGTAATGAGTTTTGCATGCAAGAACAAAGAATCTGGACACTTTTCACAGTTTCTTTTTTTCCAGGTAAATATTCTTAAAATTGGTTATGATAATTTAGAGGTAGCAATTTCTCTTTGTGGATTAGATATCTAAATTAAAATATTTAGACTATTCTTAAATACTATTTTCTTCTTATCAAAGTTTTAAATATAATATTTTATCATTGACCAATTAAATTACATAAAGAGATTGTTGAAGATGAAGTGATTCTGTACGATTTGATCTTTATTATCTCCTTAGTTTTTCAAAAACCAGTGCCTCCATTAGAAGAGGCTCTCAAACAAATTCAAGAATCCAACTTAAAATCACAAGTATCCTCTTCTTACAGACCAACTATAAACTTGAGGTAAGTAATTTACTATTGTGTGAATTATTAATGTATAATAATTAAATAAGTTTCTAGTTGCTGAGTTTATAGGCCTTTTCATCAGTTAATCCTCACTCCTTAATTACTATTTTATTTTCACAGATTAAATTAAGGTTAAGTGGAATATAAATATTTTGCTTCAAGAATAAGGCAAAATTTTAGTTTGTTGTCTTGGAATTACAGTGCTGCTTAGGTTGAACAATTATCTTTGGAAACTATCATCAAAACCATTTTTAAGTATTGATATTGGTTATTTATCTTTGCCAAGATGAGAAAATTGTGTTGAATTATAGTGATATAATTTTAAGTAAAAGGAGTAACTCTATGGTTAGAAATGGGTTTTCCTCACTGAAAATCTTTCATTGATGTCTTGAAAAAGCTACAGTGTCTCCTGCTTGCTCTCCAGGTTAGCTTAAATGTGTCATCTAGAAACAATAAGATGGCCAACCAATAGAGTACTCTCTGACATCCCATATTTCCCATTTATTTATTAGAAATGTTTGTTGAAGCATAACACTAGGTCAAGAATTGTAAAGGGAAAAGTATAACAATGTAAAATGCAATCCTACATAATAATAGAGGGATATGCAAATTGTCCATTACTCTGTAACATAACGACCATTTAGCAGGCTGTGTGGGCAGCAGGCTCAGGTGGGCAGGCCACGGCAGCCAGGGGACATGAGCCTGCAGCGCCTCCTCTAGAGTTGGGGAGCTAATGACGGGCAGGCGCTGGACCTCCTCCAACAGCCCTCTCCAGCAGACATGGGGCTGCTGAGACCCAGGCTGGGTCTCTGGCCACAGATGTAAAGGTTCGCGGAGACCAACTCTATCAGGTCGCCCAGAGGCCATATGGCCAGGCCGCAGGGTGCCCAAACCCAGTGCCTGTTCAAGATGTGAAACACAGAGGAGGTGCAGGATGAAATCCAGAGAATGGGATGTGAGGTTCAAGACTCACTCCCTTTGGGCTTTGTCCTTCTTGGCCCACCTGAGGGGCAGTTCCTGGGCGGGCAGAGCAAGGAGTGCAGAGTGCAGCCCATGGGGTGCACTGGAGAGGGCTTGTGGTATGATTAATTAATGAATAGTGAAACCACTTATCAAAATGAGTATTAGGGAAGAAGCTGTTTAATGGAGGAAATAACTGGGAGGAGAGTATGTTGTTGAGTTTAAGATACTTATGAGATATCTGGGGTCAGTTACTCACGGTAAGAAGTCTAGGCCATAAATATAGATATGATAGTTGCCAATGAATAGATGAAACTAAAGCTGTGAGTCAGTACTCACTCACCTGTGGTAATCTTGGGTTCAGGTAAACAGTTAAACATGACTACAAAAAACCATGTTTGGCTTCAAATGGAGGACAGAAGACACCTAATATCAATAATCAACATTCTTAAATAGGAGGAATCTTCATGGCAGGCCACAAAGCAGTCCAAGAGCTAGTCTTTTCTATGCCCTTCTCCTCACAAGGACAGTTCAGCTACAAGGAAAAGAGGTCACAATGTGTGGGCACTCTGGGTTAGAAATCTCATGTTCTAAACAAGACCATTATTTCTTGTGATGATTCCACATGAATAGCTTCCAGGTCCATGCAAGAGACATGTCCAGCCAGTTATAAGAATTACCACACTCAGGGAAACCCAAAGCTATAGCTTCCTACCGAATACTTATGGTTTATTGACAGTTCTCTCAATTCAGATGCAATTTACCAATGAAGAGTCATTTTTAACATAATTAATGTGCCTTCTAATACAGTTCAAATCCTACTAATAATCCAGGGGGACAGATTTAGAAAGTTAGCCCCAAGTCACATTGGTCCAAAAAGAACAGATTTTGCTAACTCTTCACTCACATGCAGATATAATAAGATAACACAGGCAGTATAAATAAGATTACACAGAGAGTATAATCAAAGAAGACAGTCACATATCTTTCAAAAATTCTAGCATGTAAAAGACAAACAAAAAAAGAGTAGTCAAGAAAGACCCTGAGGAAAAACAACCAGAAAAGTGGGAAAATAATCAGGAAAGCATGATAATATGGAAACCAAGGGAATTAAAGTCAGGAAAAATAGCAGTCAAGTATCTATTTTTACAATTATTAGGTCAATTAGTTAATTATTAGCAAAATCAATACTTTGAAGTGGTAGAGGTAGAAGCTAGATAGCAAGCAGTATGTTAAGGGAAAAGTAAAAGTTGAGGCAGTGAAGGCAGTACTTGTAGAGTACTATGGAAAAGCTTGTCTGAAAAGGGAAGATGTCTGACAATCAGAGTAGGGGTTTAGGGTCCAGAGGGAATTTAGAGTGATAAAGATTTCCAAACCATTTAGTGTAGAAGTAATGTGCATTTTTGTACAGTTTTTACTCTCGAGTTTCTTTTTCTATGTATCAATTGTTATCCTTTGTGTTATCAGATATTTTTAATAAAAAAGCTCTTTGTACTATGAATGAAAGGAGAGAATTTTTTGTTTAACAGTGTATAGTTTCTTAAAGTCTTAGAACAGGTAAACTATCACAACTTTGATTTCCCTATAACAAACAAGCATAGTTATCATTACACTAAATCTCTGCTAGGACCATTGAATAACATACATCATCATTGTTTTATGAGAAATTGTCTTCATTCTAAATTAGAATACATAATGTTTATATTATTCTTGTAATCCTATATAATAAAGAGCTAATATGCTAATTAGACCGAACAGCAGAATGGCCATCCAGATGACCTTCAGACAAAGCTGAGCCCCTTGAATGAATTTTGTGCATCAGGCCTCTAGTCTATATAATAAAAGCCTAAGCAACGCTTATGACAGAAAGACCAGAATGACCAGTCGCTATGATGTGTACTGACCACCAGGGATAGACACCCAATGCAGGAGCTGTCCCCTGGTGGTCAGTGTGCTCCCACAGGGGGAGTGCTGCTCAGCCAGAAGCCAGGCTCACGGCTGGCAAGTGCAGCAACAGTGGCGGGAGCCTCTCCCGCCTCCTTGGCAGCACTAAGGAGCAACAAGCTGAGCATTAAGGAGCAGTGAGCAGGCAGGCAGAAAAGAGCAAAGAAACAAGGTGTCCTGGACTGCGAGAGGGCACAGGCCAACCTGAAGAACACTCCTCCCTCTCCCATTTCGTGCACCAAGCCTCTAGTATACTATATTGAAATACACTGTTATGACTATGGCTTTTTGATACCTATATCTATATATACACACAAGCAAGTTATGTATTTGGAAAATAACATGTAAAAAATTTATAGAGAGAACCCTGGTTTTCTTATTAAAAAGTTGAACTTTTCTTCACAGATAACTAACATATTAAATAATGTGTGTGAAAATGCTTTGTAAACTATAAAATGATATACAAATATAAGATATTAAAGTATTAATGGTCAGATGTAAGGTTAATAGAAATATTTATATGTAATATTTATCACAAATATAAGTAAGATGCAAGTATTGAAGAGCTATTGTTACCGTAAAAAGACATTTTTTGGAATATAATCCTAAAATGCATTAATGAATAAAGCAGTCATGTGCCAGTTAATGACTGGGATACATTCTGAGAAATGTGTAATTAAACAATTTCATCATTGTACAAAATCATAGAGGGTCCATACACAAACCTAGGTAGTATAGCCTACTACACATCTAGGCTGTGAAGCATGTTACTGTACAAAACAGCAAATTAGATGAAACACGAGGAAATTATGCAGTCAAGAGACAGTGAATGCCAGATGTGTGAGCTTGCTGACAGTGTAACACAGCACGCCATTTTACAACAAACTTGTTTTTTATAAACAAGTACGCTCTAAAATAACAATAGAAATATATAGGTAGCATAGTTGCTTATTATCATTATCAAGGATGATGCACTGTACATGATTGTATGTGCTGTAGGTTTGTTTATTCCAGCATCACCAGAAACATGTAAGGAATGTGTTGGGCTAAGATGATATAATGGCTACGACATCACTAGACAGTAGAAATTTTTTATTTCCCTAATAATCTTACAGGACTACAGTCATATATATGGTCTATCATTGACCAGAAATGTCATTATGCAGCAAATCACTGTACTGCCAAGAAATAAGGAATTTTCAAAGAAATGGAGATATATTAGTACCCATAAACAATTGTTCTAATATGGAAAATATTAATAGTAGATATAAAAAATTTAAGATTTTGGTAATGTGGTATTCTAAAGGAGAAAAAAAATTATATGAAAAAATGAAAGGTATTGAAAGCTTAAGCCTCAAGAAAAAGAATTTGTTCATATGACAATTGAAGCTGCCTCAGGAAATACTGAAATACAAAAATGTTAATATGGGACTAACATTTAACATATAACTAATCAACCTCCCAGCACATTTAAAATCCTTATCACAAAGATAATATACTTGACTTTTCTGATAGATGTACGATAAAGAAGCTATATTTTACTCTCATATTAAATTTTTATACTTTAAAAGATGTTGTTAGATATCTATCTCCAATATCCATGTATTTGTGGTTAGACCACATATTCTAAACCACATGCTATCCTGAGAAATCTGGCCAGAGCTGAGCAGCAGTCTACTTGACCTCTATTTGCCCTTTGTACTAATGCTTTAAATCAGATCATCTAGCCCAGTGGTCGGCAAACTGCGGCTCGTGAGCCACATGCAGCTCTTTGGCCCCTTGAGTTTTTAGCAAAGGACAGCTTAGGAGTTCCCTAATTAAGTTAATAACAATGTACCTACCTATATTGTTTAAGTTTAAAAAATGTTTTGCTCTCAAAAGAAATTTCAGTTGTTGTACTATTGATATTTGGCTCTGTTGACTAATGAGTTTGCTGACCACTGATCTAGCCTATATTTATTATCCATACGACTATCAGACTTCTGAGAGGTGAAAATATTCTGCCAGGACCGGTTTAGCTCAATGGATAGAGCGTCGGCTTGGGGACTAAAGGGACCCGGGTTCGATTCCGGTCAAGGGCATGTACCTTGGTTGCGGGCATATCCCCAGTAGGGGGTGTGCAAGAGGCAACTGATCGATGACTCTCTCTCATCGATGTTTCTAACTCTCTATCTCTCTCCCTTCCTCTCTGTACAAAATCAATAAAATATATTAAAAAAATATTCTAAGAGCAAGGAATGAGAAAAAGGGAATCTGAATAAGCTATGTACATTTCTCAGCCCATGTGAGAGCACATGATTGAACAAAGAAAATTATACATGGATCCTAAGGACAGAAAAAATATTAATCCTATGTGCAACCCATACACTAAAAATAAAAATAAACTAAAAAATCATCTTAATAAGACTGTCTCTCTACCTGCCTGTCCAAATACTTTTCCACCTGTGCAGATCCATTCCTGCCTGTCCAGCTGTCTCCACATCTGATTCCTACTTACCTGATCACCTGCCTTCCTCACGGGCCCCATTGCTATCCCACCAATCCCAAATTCTTCCAAGCTATCCTACTGTTTCTCCCACTCGCCAGCCCTTTACCCTGCCTATCCATCCATCTGTTCCCTCTACTCTTTCGAAGACCTTTTTACCAGGCCCATTATTGTCCTACCCAATTAAATATCTTCCTCGACCTCCAGCCCCAGTAACTCCCAGCTTTTCTAACAGTTTTCCTTTCCTACCAGCCCCAATTCCTTGTGGCCCACCTGACCATTTACCACAGCCACCCCGAAGTTCCCCAACCATTTCTGATTCTGACTCACATAGCAAGTTATTTTACAAAACTTTCAGGCGTAAACATTTCCTTCCAGCACAACTTTCTACCTCAGCCACTCGAATGCCTCCCCTTGTTCGCCGTTCCCTTCCAGCTCAACTGGTTGTTTCCCCAATCCCTTTGGAAACTTTCCCAGCTTTGAAGCCTTCCAGTTTATCCAGTCATCCCCCTCATCAATTTGTCCCCACCCTTTCTCATGTTGCTCCATTGCCAGAACATTCTGCTAGCTTAGATTCTTTCCAGTCAGTCCAGCAATCTGTTCCACAAACCACATTGTCAAATCTGCCCCAGGCTATTGCAGACCATCCACCTGCCTCTCTTCTCTGCTGTCCACCTCCCTATCATTCTCCATCCCCTTCTTTGTCTTCATCTCCTTCTAATTCCTCATCCTCTTCTTCACCCTCTGTACAGTTTTCTTCCTCTTCATCCTTGCCTGCTTCTCCTTCATCTTCCTCTCCTATCTCTCCATCCCTCCCTCCCTCACCTATCCCTCTTTCTTCCTCATCTTTGCATTTAACTCCCTCTCGATGTTTTCTTCCAACTTACTTAGATTTTCCCTCTCCAATTCCTCCTGATTCTTCTTCCTTTATAATTTCTTCTTCCTTTCCCCCCATGCTTCACTCTCCCTTTCTTTCTACCTCCCCATCTCCTTTTATTCCTATTCATCCCTTCAATACTCCTCACTGGGGGAAGAATGTAGAGAAGAGAAGAAAAGCAAGTGGAGTAGAGAAGAAAATAAAGAAGAAAGAGTTGAGAGACGACAACTTTAAAGGTAAATAAATTGAGTTTATTTAATACTTTGCAGATTTAGCAATGTTTTGTTTGGGAAGGGTGATTGAAGGGGAAAGAATATGTTAGAGTAGAAAGGACTAAAAGGAAGAGGGAGAAACATAATTTCAATGTTCAGAAATTTGTGTTAAATAACTTCTTCCTCTCCCTGATTCCCCTTTGGTCACAAAAGATAGTTAGGAATCTAGTACTCATTGACCCAGACTATTTCAGTTTGTCCAAATAAAAATATATTTGGGTATTGGAGATAGGTATATGTACATACATCACCTAAAAAATTTTTCTCTTCATTGACTTGAATAATTGAATTCAAATGAATTCAGAGTAAATGCCTTTGGGATTCACACTAATAGTCCTAGTGCAGCAGAAGTCAGCTTTTTTATATACCTCATCCTGATCCCACCTCCACCCAAAATCTTCCTTTGTTCTTTGTTTTGCACATTGTACTTATGCTAAAATGTTAACATGCTGTTAAGTTTCTAGAAGATGCAAAATTCTAGTAGAAGATGATATCATCCCCTGATGATTTTGGGGTGCCATTTTGGCACACTAAAAGTAGAGTCTACATTAAAGGTACCTTTCTGTGGCATAAAAACCATGCTTATATATGTGATTCAACCAAAACCAAGTGTGTGCACTCTTTTCCATGGAATAAGGTGCAAGCACTCAAGCGTAGTAAGTTAGAATGGAAATTCTTGCCTTCCTTGACAGGCAATTTTTATATTTTTTACCTACATGAATCTTCAACCAACTCAACAGTTAGAGTGATAGAACTATCTACTAGCCATGAAACCGACTTAGAACTAAGGGTAATGCAAATTATTATCCAGATAGGAATGCACTTAAAGAACTGAGGACTGACTCTTCACATCTATAGAAATTTCTTCTGTATCTGTCCTAAACATTAGAGGCATAGGATTTAATAATCAAAGTCATAAATAATTGGACATTCCTACATGAATGTGGAGTGCTTTATTAGAGCTATAATGCTACAACCGTTTTTATTCTATTGTTTACTGCATTAAATTCCCATGTTAATATATCTATATATTTATCCAATATCCTTATATGTAATTATCTGGACACACACACACATACATACATACATTACATGAATGTGTAGTTTACATGTATGTAAAAAGTTAACTTATTAAAATGTACTAAGCATTTTTATGTATGGTTCACAGAGCTATAGATAATGCCTTGACTTCATCACTATCAAAAAATGATCAGAAACATCTCTTATCCAAAATCAATTGTGATAAAGAAGTGAAGGAAAATAGCAGGATACACTTGCCTACTAAAAAGGATGCATTCCAGCTTAAACTAATGGAAACTCAGAAACTCCTAGAAGATCAACATCTAAGGAGTTTGCAAGTATGAAACTATATAATATTAATATTTTATGATCTAGTAACAATTCAATGTTCATTGCAGTTTTCTTCATTAAAGAAATTTATGCCATTTGTCAATGATAGCCATGAAAAAGAATGTGGATGAATCAACACAAATTTATCACATATCCTAGGAAAATAATTTCTTGTTTTTTTTTCTTATATTTTATTCATTTTTCCCTCCTCTATTTTTCTTTTTTCATCTTATATTTAGAAAAAATATGCTATATGAATGATATTTACTGACTAATAAGACAGCTATTTGAATTCCTTCTTTTTATAACAGCATAGTATTCCATTGTGTAGAAAGTAGAATGTAATATGTGTCACTATTAGAGACTGGATGATAAAATGCAACCTTAAAATTATACTGCATGTGGACATTAAGTTCTTAATGTAAATGCATTACAACTAGCAAAATAGTGCTTATATTCTATCTCTTAGGGCACTTACTTTGTTATTTTCCCACCAGTGAGTGGGATTTCAGCTGATTTTCCTGAAATATTCATGTGCTTTATTTTTCAATCCTTAGAGCTGATACCAAGATTAAATTCATAAACGTGGCCTGATTAATTTAATAACTAAGCAATAGTGGCAAGATTTAAGAAGCAAAGAGGGAGACTTCTAGCTATGATAAAATATATTCCTGGTATAAACCACTATAATTTGAATAAAATGTATAAGTCCTATGATTACATAGACTTTTTACCTAGACATACTCTCTGGATAAGCCTCAAAAAAATCCACAAGTTACTCAACTGCCTGTCAAAAAAAATCTTAACACTCTCTTAAAGAAGACTGAAATCTTGATACACAGCATAATGCTCACAATATCCAACATTTAATCACAACTTACTAGACATGTGAAAAAGCAGGAAAATATAACATAACTAGGAAAAACTTAGTCAATATAATTAAATGCAAAAATGACAGAAATAATGGAATCAACAGGAAGGAATTTAAAACCATTTTTATTAATATTTTCAAGGAATTAAAGTAAAAATGAACATAATGAAAAAGGATATTTTAAATGAACTAAATAAACCTACATCTGAAAAGCATATCTGAAATGAAAATTTTACTGGATGGGCAAAAAGATTAATGGACTTGAAGACATGGCAATAAAATTATTCAATTGAATCACTGAGAGAAAAAGACTAGAAATAAATGAAAAAAACATTATTGACCTGTGAGACAATATCAAGCATACAATTTAATTAAAATCCCAAAAAGAAGAAAGGGAATATTTAAAGAAACAATGATTAAAACATTTCAAATTAGGTCAAACTATAAGTCCACAGATCTAGAAAGCTCAACAAACTCCATGAAAGATAGCCAGCCAGAGGAACTCAGTGGTTGATGTCACCTGTGAACCAGGAGGTCATGTTTTGATTCCCAGTCAGAGCACATGCCTAGGTTGCAGGTTCGATCCCCAGTGTGGGGCATACAGGAGGCAGGTTAACAATAATTTTCTCTCATCATTGATGTTTCTGTCCTTCTTTCTGAAATAAATAGCATTTTTTTTAAAAGAAAAGAAGGATAAGCACAGATACATACACATATACATACACCCATGAAGGATATCAAAATCAAATCAAGCCAGAAGAGGAAAACATTTGTTACATGGATGCAAACAAAACTAAGATGCAACACTAGCTTCAAGACAAATGACAGTGAAAGAGGGGGGAAAATGATCAATCTAGAATCCTGTATCCAACTGAAATATCCTTCTGAATAAAGGCAAAATAGGCATTTTCAAATAAACAACTGAACACTGCACTACCCCAACATCTGCACTATAAGAAATGCTATAGGAAATTTTTCAGACAAAAGGAAAATCATATGAGTTGAAAACTCGGATCTATAGTGGCAGAAGATTAGTGGTAGTTATGGTGGTTAGGGATTAACTACAAAGAAACATGAGAGAACTTTTGGCAAATGGAAAGGTTCTATATATATTGTTTGGTATGGTGCTTATGGGTGAATAATTTGTCAAAACTCATTAAACTACACATTTAAAATAGGTGCATTTTATTGTAGATAAGTATTCTTAGTAAAATTGATTTAAAAACTAAAACACTCAAAAAACTTAAACACAAAGCATGTTAATTCTAGTACAGTTTATATCAGTAACTTACAAGAAAACTTGAAGCTGATCATAATGTTTCATTGTTGAGTGGTGAGAAAAATTCTAGGGATAGGGAATGTATAGTCTAAGGAAATCAGAAGTTAATGAACTTCTTTGAGGTGCTTAGGGAGATGAGGCCATTACAGACCTATTCAAACAGACCTTCTAATACAGATTTCTACATCTCATTAGAAAGTCCCCAGGCCTGGTTTCCTTATTATCCTATATAATAAAAGCTTAATATGCTAAATGTCTGGTCGTCTGGTCAGCCATTCAAGCAATAAAAGTGTAATATGCTATTGATATATAAAGGCTGCTCAACCACTTACTATGATGTGCGCTGACCACCAGGGGGCAGATGCTTCAACCGGTAGGTTAGCTTGCTGCTGGGGTCCAGCTGATCAGGACTGAGCATGATGGACCAGACATGCCCTGGAGCCCTCCTGTGGCTCCTCCCAGGCTGGCTAACCTCCTGCATACCTCCCCACCCCCAATCATGCATCGGTGCGGTCCCTTGATCTGGCCTGTTGGTGGTCAGTGTACATCATAGTGAATGGTCAAACTCCCAGTCGAACAGCCACAGAGGGGACAATTTGCATATTAGGCTTTTATTATATAGAATATAGCCCTTCCAACAGGAAATTCATATTGGGGTTATAGAGCTTTTAGGAGCTTCATTCAAGTCTAGTGAATGTTTCAGGAAAAAATACCATTTTTAAATAACTTTTTCACATGCTGTTATGAAACCTCCAAGAAACTTCATATTCTAAATGGAATAGCAATAGCAAAATTATTTTCCAAGCTATAACTCTGCCTAGAATAATTCAATAGTTACCTTAGGCATAGAAATTAAGGCTATAAGTCTATTATCAAAGTCTTTTTTAGCTCCTTTTTTCACTCTGAAGACTGCTTCAGACATATAGATTATGGATATGCCTACACTGTTTATGATTATTTTATTGTATTTTATATGCCAAGAAGAATTGGGCACAGTAATAATGATGTGTTGAATCATAAATGTTAGCATTTACAAAATGTCTAAGCTATAAAACTTTGTTCTTTTTTCTTTCAGAAATTTTGTGATGAAGTTAATCAGATAACAAATTCGGAAACCCTCTCAAGTATAGATAGTCTTGAAGCTGGAGAACATGAACAAATCTATTCAACGCTTACTAATAAGGAGCCTCCCACAACAGTTCAGGAAAATTCTGTTTTCCTCAAATCAGCAAATCTACGGTCAGCTAATCTAGATTGCTTTGATAAAGATAAACTGTCATTCTCTAAAACTCAACATATAAATAATTGGCTAAAAAATTTAGATAATCCAAATACTCAAACTGACATACCTTTCTCAGATATTTTAAGTAAACCTAATGTTCTACCTTCAGGGGAATGTTTTAATAGTAAAGAACAAAATCCATCTGCTCTATGTAGAGCTATGGAAGAAACCACAAATGCTAATAATATATTAGATTTTATATGTAATTCACCCATATTTATACCCAATGAAAAAATCAAAAAGACCTCTGAAACCAGCACTGTAAGGGCAGCTAACTCCTGTTCTAGGGCATTCAAAAGAGAGAGACCAGCAGTTACTGAGAGCCCAACATTTAAATGCAGCAAAGCCTGGGGCACTCCAGATCCTCTAACTCAAGAAATGGCTACAATTTCAGACCAAGTGAAATATTCTGAATTAACTCAAGAAAATAGAGCTACTTCAATTCCTACTTCATTTGTACCTGTGGCATCTTTAGTTTTGCCATCTAATACACAATCAACTGAACCTTTACCAAAGAACATTATACATATGAACAAAACTGACCCAGTACAGTGTTCTGATAATTTAGGAGAATTGAAAGATGATAAAAAGATAAAATGTTTTAATTCTAAAAAGGAAGAGTTGCCTTTATTTTCAGACAATTTTCTAGCTGCCTGCATACCTCACAACTCTGATAAAAAACAGAAAATAACTGAAACATCAACATTATTATCTAATGTAATCTCTAATTATGACTTAGTTGGTCAGCAAAAGAAAAGAAAATACAATATTGATGGAAAAAGTAGTGTGAGGTTTCTTAAAAGTATTTTAAAAAAAGAATCTAAATATGAACATGATTCTTTTAAGGCATTAGTTATAAATCAAGGCTTTAAGTTAAGAAATCAAAAAGCAGAAGCTATCAGAGATAGTATTGAATTAACAAAAGAAAAAGGGGGAAATGCAGAAATTCCAAAGACTATTAAAAAACTGAGATGGGTTGATGAAACTGAATATAATCATTCACTGAAGAATGGACTAGAAATATCTCAACAGTGGTCTCAGTCATTCCACACTCAAACTAATAGTGGTGTTTCCAACAACATAATCAGTGTTCCTGCTTGTGCTGTAAATTCTGCTAATAGAAAAAACCCCAAGGATGATTCTATCTCTGAAAATCTGGCTGCTTCAGGAGAATCTAGAACAAACCATGTGTCTTTGAACTGTTTTATACCTTCAGCTTTTAATATTGCTAAGCAAGCCTGGCCAGCCTCAGAAAAAGAGGAAAGTAAATCTCCTATACATAATAGTGATTCTAAAACTCAGAAAGCTAATGTACAAAGAGGTAGAGAAAAGGTAATTAGAACAAAATCTGCTCAAGTCCAATCAGGATTTCTATATACAAACAGAAAAGGCACTGTTATTCGAGCACAATCTGCAAACAAAGCTAACACATTTTTACAACCTCAGGGTAAATTAGTACCTCATCCTCCTAAAACTCCACCAAATATTAGGAGTGATAAAAATACACAAGTATTTCGGTGTCAATCAGAAATGCCTGAAAATTCTCAAAACATTATTACAAATAACTATTTTACTTCGAAACATGTGCTTCCAGCAGAACACAAGATGAATCAATGGAATAAAGTATGTGGTCTTCCACTCTCACATGTTTGTTCCAACTCAATCCCTGTGATGCCATCTCTACCATATTGTTCTGAGTGCCAAACTTTAGCAAAAACAAATCATTCAAATGGCACTCAAATCATTGCCCAGCAGGATGGAACATTATATTGCACACAAAGATGTCCTGTTTATGAAGAAAGTCAGCACTCAGTGGCTTTTAGACCTACTAAAGAAGAATCTGTTCCCTCGTGGAAAAGATGGCATAATAGTCTGGGTCAAAATGAAAAGGCTGCTGGTAAGAATAAATTCATATATTTTTATAGATAAAATGTATAACTTCTTGAAATTCATGTGACATCTTTCTTATTGTACAGTAATGTAGACCATATATATATATATTAATATTAATAACCTTATAGAAACAACTTATCTTCTTTAATATTGCATCCTTAGCTATCTAATAGCTGAAGTTAAGAGAATTACCCAACCATTGCTCAACTAAAATTAGAAACTTTTGCTAGCCTCCATTTTTTTCATTACTTTTGTTAATTTAAAAGAGGGAGGACAGAGAATAGGACCTAATTGTTATACTATTTCATTCTATCATGACCCCAATATTATAGTCAAAATGTCTGTAAAATAATCTCAGTAAAAATAATGTTTAAATTATTCCAGATAGATAAATAAATGATGTTATAATACCTTTCTTTATTTTTGTTTTAAATGTTTGTGAAATTGAGTTGTTATAATATGGGTGTGCTAAACTCTTCCATCTCCTTTCCAAAGGAGTGGCAGCTCTATTGTTATCTGTTATATATGTTGGTTTTCATATGAAGAGAAAAAATAATAGCATTCCTTTAAACATTTTTGAAAGGTATTTCTCTACAGAATGTCATTGCCCTTTGTAGCTGGTTGATGCTTCATGAAGCTACTTTCCTCTGAAGAATGGACTAGGTGACCATAAATTTTCCTACCACTGGGAATCAGTTCCCTATTGAGAAGTACCAAGTAGATAGGACTTGGAGGGGGGAGGGAGAGCAGTCAGCAAAGCAATGCTTTCCTTTTCCCAAAGGTATGACTAAGTATTAAGAAGACATAAAAAAGGGAGTTACTTTAAAATTGACTAATTAAAGTCTTCTTCAGTTAGACCATGAGATTTTAAGAACAAGGACCTTTTTTTGTAATTTATCAGGTCCTAACTGTGCCTGGTACTTAATTTAGACACCTAGACTTTCTTGAATTGAACGGACACAAGCCATATTGACAGATGGAAAGCTAAATGCAAAGACTGTAATCTAAAAATCTTACAAAACCTACATTTATTGTAAAAAAATTATATCTCTCGCTAGAGTGGAATAAAAAAAAAAATAGTCCTCTACTCTCACATGTTTGTTCTGACTTACTCTCTATCATGCCATCTCTTTTTATCCAGCCATTTTACAATGTAACTTTAGTTTTCACATTGCTTCCAAAAAATGAAAGCATCATACAAATTTGACACTCTAAAGTAATAATGATAAATAAATTATGAGTTCCTATTCTGTGCCACTAACAGTGCCAGATGCTTTATAGTTATTGTCTCATTTAAACCTCACAATAATCCTGAAAAATAAGTATTTTTTTATAACGCCACTTGCAAAGGAGGAAATAGAATTGCCCAAGGTCAAGAGCAAGTAAATAACAAAATTGGTATTTTAATTTAAATATTTATGATTCTAAGTTCCATGCTTTTTCTACTAAAATTATCTACACTAATAAAAGAGAAACATGCAAATTAACCATCACTTAATGTGATGTTACACCCACAGCCAATCAGGAGTGAGTATGCAAATTAGCCCAACCAAGATGGTGGCAGCCATGGAGCTATAGTGAGCAGGAGGCTTGGGTTGCCCTCAGCAATGGAGGAAGCCATGCTTCCTGCCCGCCCTGGCCGGACCTGGTCTCTGCTCAAGAAGGGGCTGGGAGCATGGGTTTCCAGGGGAACCCAGGCTACCAGCTGGCCATGGCCTCCACTCAAGGCTACAAAGTTTCAATTATAGAAGATAAATAAATCCCAGATACCTGCTTCCAGCCAGCCCTGGCCTCTGCTCAAGGAAGCGCTGAAAAAAGAAGAAAGAAAAGTAAAAAAGGAGGGGCTGGAAGCCTGGATCACCGAGGGGCGTGGCCAGCCTGAAAGCAGCCTTTAACTCCTCACCCAGGCTGGCCACACTCCCGTGGGGTGAGGGTCCCTGGTGGGAGGCTTGGCCAGCCTGCAAACAGCCATCAGCCCCTCACCCAGGTTGGCCAGGCACCCCATTGGGGACCCCCACTGAAAGGGGTTTGGCCAGCCTGAAAATAGCCCTCATTCTCTCACCCCATCAGTGAGGGTCAGTTGGAGGTGATCAGGACAGTGGGGGGAGGGGCAGTTTGGAGTGAGCAGGGGGCAGTTGGGGGTGAGCAGGCCAATGGGGAGGAAAGATGGGAGCAAGCAGGCCAGCAGGGGGTGGCAGTTGGGGGTGAGCACACTGACATAGGGAGTATTATAATTGGGGGTGATCAGGTTGGCAGGAGGTCAATTGGGGGCAAGCAGGCCAGCAGGTAGAATAGTTAGGGGCAATCAGGCAGGCAGGCAGACAAGTGAGCGGTTTAGGAGCCAGCAGTCCCAGATTGCAAAAGGGAAGTCCGACTGCCGATTTAGGTCCTATCCCTGTAAACCAGCAGTAGGACATCCTTCAAGGGGTCCCAGATTGGAGATGGTGCAGGCTCAGCTAAAAGACATCCCTACCCCACCCCATGCACGAATTTCATGCACCAGGCTTCTAGTATAATATATATAGTTATTAAGCAAATATAATTTATCAGAATCTAAGCTGATCAGGAAAAATATTAAGAAACATAGTTGCCCAGTAGCTCAAGCATAAAAAGATAGCATATTAAAATTATGTCCTCATTCTCTGGTAAAAAAAAAATAATAATAATAATAATTATTATTATTATTATTATTATTATATACCAATAGTCAACTGAAATAGTTCCTATGGAAATTTATATAAGGACATTAAAAAACTGTAATGAGTTTTAACACTTTCAGCCATGTTTTCAAAGAGAAATAGTCAAACTGTTGTATATGTCTATACTTTTTTTTAATACTTAAATTTTTAAAATGTATTTTTATTGGTTTTTTACAGAAAGGAAGGGAATGAGAGAGGGATAGAGTTAGAAACATCTATAAGAGAGAAACATTGATTCAGCTGCCTCCTGCACACTCCCTACTGGGAATGTGCCCACAGCCAAGGTACATGCCCTTGACCAGAATCAAACCTGGGACCCTTCAGTCTGCAGTCTGATGCTCTATCCACTGAGTCAAACCAGTTAGGGCATGTCTATACTTCTAATACAGTGATTATACTTAGAAAATATAATACTAACAATACTAAATATTTTCTATATTTAGTCACTCAAACTTATTTTTCAAAACTATTTAAATATTAAACATTGTAAATGAACCCTTTGCTAATACTGAATTATAGTTATATATAATTATAATTCATTAATTAAATCAGCAATTCAATTTACATCCTCCTTTCAGACTACAGTATGGTATCTGCACAAGGATAGCTAGACCATGGAATGGAATACACTCTAGAAACAGACCCACATATTTGAGACCCACATGTTTGAGTTTTGGCAAAAGGGGTACAGCATAGCAGGGAGAAAAGACTTGTCTTTTCATTAAATAGTGCTGACTCCATTTCAATGATCGCCTGGCATTAGTAAAATGACCCTTAATTCATGCCATACATAAAAATTAATTCCAGGTAAACTGTAGATATAAATATGGAAAAGAAAAAGAAATGTTTCTAGAAGATAATTTAGACTTTAGAATGTACTGAAATTTCTTACCCAGACATACAACCATTAAGAAGATTGATAAATTGTACTTTAAAATTAGAAACTTTTTCATCCAAAAACACCATTAAGATATTGAAAAGGCAAACCACAGAGTGACAGAATATATTTATAATGTATAATACTAATGAAGAGCTCATATCTCAAATATATAAAGAATCCCTACTATTTAATAAGGAAAAAACAACCCAGTTATGTCAGTCAGAGTTTAACTAGATAAGCAGAACCAATAAGATATATTAAGATTCATTTCAAGGGATTAGTTTATGCGAAAATGAGGGCTGTCTAGGCAAGTCTGAAATTCCTAGAGCAGGCCATGTGGGAAGGGACAGGCCAGAAATCATGGGGTGAACTAAAATTGCTACTCATAGGCAGAATTTTTTATTCTCTCAAGGAAGGAAACTTCAGTCCAGTTTTTAAGGCCTTTGAACTGACTGAAGTAGGTATACACAAATTATCTACAGTAATCTCCCTTACTTGAAACAAACTGGTTATGAGTTTAATAGCATAAAACTACAAAATTAGTTCACAGCAACACCCACATTAGTATTTGATTAAATAACTGGGGACTCTGGATTAAGTGACACATCAAAAAAACTATCACACCAATTTCTTTTTATTTTTTATGCCAATTTCTTTTTAAAGCCAAAATATTTGAATAAGCTTTTCATAAAAGAGGATAGCCAAATGGTCAATAAACATGAAAATATCTCAGCCTCAGTCCTTAGGAAAATTGGCATTAAAACAATTAGATACAGGTAGTAAAACTGTCATATCTATAAATTTGGCCAGATATGCCAGTGCAAACTATATTATTTTTGCAAAAATACCAAGTTTTCTAGCTAGTATAGTAATTGGTGGATAGTATTTGTGTGTATGTGAATGGAACAATACATAAGCAGTTTAAGTACATACTGTATCTATTCCTGGGATCAGTAATATACAATCCATAAAACTGAACATGTATACAAAGCAGTAAAGCACAAAAATAAATAATTATGTTACAAATCAAGTACCGTATTTTTCGGACCATAAGACGCACCAGTTTTTAGAGAAGGGAAATGAAGAAAAAAAGATTCTGAAACAAATAGTGTCCTAAAATATTTTATGTGCATTAAAACCCAACATCACAGTCATAAACACATGTAATCAACCCTGTAAAGTAAACAGCAGCATTTAGAACCATTTTAGAGCCGGGCAAGCACACAGAGACCACACAGAGCCGGGCAAGTAAAAAAACTTTTTTTTTAAAGTATATGTGTAGGCTATATTTGGACCATAAGACGCAGGGACTTTTCCCCCCCACTTCTGGGGGGAAAAAAGTGCGTCTTATGGTCCGAAAAATACGGTAAGTACAAAAATGTTGGTAGATCTTGCCTCTAGAAGATTTAGGACTAAACAAAGATAGTTCAGTCTGTTCAATGCTTCTGTGTTTCTGGATCTATTTTTGATCATCAATTTATGTTGTTCATTATATTTTACAAATGAGTGAGATCATGTGGTATATCTTTCTCTGACTGGTTTATTTCACTTAGCAAAAACTCTCCAAGCTCATCCATTCTGTTGTAAATAGTAAGAGTTCCCTATTTTTACAGCAGCATAATATTCCTTTGTGTAGCTGTACTGGTTTTTGATCCTTTCATCTGCTGATGGGCACATAGCCTGTAACCAAATCTTAGCTATTGTAAATTGTGCTGCTGTGAACATAGGTCTACTTATATCCTTTCTGATTGGAGTTCCTGATTTCTTGGGATATCCTAATATATAAAAGGCCAGGAGCCATCATAACCAAAACAACCAGACTGACAACCGAACAGCAGGCTGCATGAGGCAACAAGGCCAGCAGGGGGGTTAGTGAGGAACAATCAAACAGCAAAATGCATGGGGTGACCACACTGGCAGGTGGTTAGTGAGAGACTACCAAATGACTGAAAAGTAGGCTGCGCAGGGTGACCAGGCCAGCAGAGGAAGCAGTTGGGGGAGACCAGGCCAGCAGGGGGCCAGTAAGGGGTGACCAGGCTGGTGGGGGGAGAGTAGTTAGAAGCTACCAAGCCAGAAAGCAGGGAGGGAGTTAGGGGCAACCAGGCCAGCAGGGGGGCAGTAAGGAGCAACGAAACCTGTGGGGGCGGGGGGGGGGGGAAGGGGGGAGGAGCAGTTGGGGGCGACCAGGCCAGCAGAGGGGGGCAGAGAAAGGCGATCAAGCTGGCAGGCAGAGGCAGTTAGGGGTCATCAGGCTGGTGAGGGGAGGGCAGTTAGGAGCGATTAGGCAGGCAGGCAGTCAAATATCCCCCAAGAGGTCCCAGTTTGGAGAGGGTGCAGGCCAGGCTGAGGAACCCACCCCCTCTGTGCACAAATATTAGGATATCCCAAGAAATACACTAGTTGGTGTATTAAAAAAGCCATAGAATTCTGGATATTAATTTTGTATCCTGCTACATGGCCAAATTGACTTATTAAATCTAATAGTTTTTTTTATGGAGTCTTAAAAGTCTTCTATGTACAATATGTCATCTGTGAATAGTGGCAGTTTTACTTCTTTTCCAATTTGGATGCCTTTTATTTTTTATTTTTGTCTGATTGCTATGGCTAGCACTTCCAGTACTATGTTGGACAGGAGTGGTGAAAGTCAGCATCCCTGACTTGTTCCTGATCTTACGGAAAATGGTTTTAGGTTTTGCCCATTGAGTATGATGTTGGCTGTAAGTTTGTCATATAAAGCTTTTATTATGAAGATATGATCTCTTTATTCCCATTTTGCTGAGAGTTTTTAATCAAAAAAGGGTATTGGATTTTATCAATTTCTTTTTCCATCAATTGACATGGTTATGTGACTTTTGTCTCTCAATTTGTTTAAGTGTTGTATCATGTTTATTGGTTTGCGGATATTGAACCAGCCTTGCATCCCTGAAATAAATCCCACTTAGTCGCTGTGTACAATCTTTCTAATGTATTGCTGGATCCAATTCACTAGAACTTTGTTGAGGATTTTAGCATCTGTGTTCATGAGGGATATTGGCCTGTAGTTCTCTTTCTTTGTAGTGTCTTTCTCTTGTTTTAAGATTAGGGTAATGCTGGCTTTGTAGAAAGAGCTTAGAAATGTGCCTTCCTCTTGAATTTTTTGGTATAGTCTGAGGAGGATAGGTTTTAGTCCTTCTTTGAATGTTTGATAAAACTCACCTGAGAAACTATCTGGATCAGGGCTTTTGTTTGCTAGAAGGTTTTTGATTACTGCTTTAGTTTCATCAGTAGTTACTGTCCTATTCAGGTTTTTTATTCTTCCTAATTGAATTTTGGAAGATTTATTTTTTTGGACTATGTTATTTTGTCTAGGTTGTCTGGAGTAAAGTTTTCGTAGTATTTTTTTTATAATCCTGTGAACATCTGTGTGGTCGGTTATTACTTCACCTCTTTCATGTCTTATAGATAAAATACTTTTTTCTATCATATATTATTAATAATCCTCTGAATACTTAGTTTCAAATATCTTTTTTCTTTTAATCTTTATCAAATGCCTTATCAATATAGATGACTCCGCTTCATATGCCATCATTAGCTAATACCTCCAGGTACAATATGTATTTAGGGTGAAGTTTATTTTTTTTTAATTTTTAATTGTGATCCTAACTTTGTTACAAACATAATTATACTGTCATTATCATTATGTGGCAAAGAGTTCATAGTGAGAATAAGAGATGTGTCAGTTATGCCTTTCTTATTCACCAATACTTGCATAATTTGTATTATTTTTTATCTCTGATTTTGCAATTTATATTTTTAAATACATTTTTATTGATTTCAGAGAGGAAGGGAGAGGAAGAAAAAGATAGAAACATCAATGATGAGAGAGAATCATGGATCAGCTGCCTCCTGCATGCCCCCCCACTGGGGATTGAGCCCGCAACCCAGACACGTACTCTTGCTTGGAATTGAAACTGGGACACTTTAGTTCATAGGCCAACACTCTATCCACTGAGCCAAACCAGCTAGGGCAAATGTATATTTTAATATTATACAAAAAGTATAGAAAAATAATATACTCGTGTACCCACCACTCACTTTAAATAATAAAACATTACACTTGTAATGGAAACTCTACAAAAGTCTTGTTAGCCTCTTTCTCATTTTGTGAGGACTCATTCAGATAATATGAGATATCCATAATCTACTTAACCAAAGCACATATAAAATTTAGTACATTGAAGAATGCAAAAGTGCACATATAAATAACACTGCCAACTTCTCACACTTAGAATCTCTTGCTCCAAGATAACTTTGTATCTGTGTGCAATATGTGACCATTTACCTTGCACACTGACAAGGGTGATAGTGCTAACCATATACAAATTTCCCATCCACGTTTGGCCAACTTAAATTATACAGGATTTTCCACTGCATAGGTGATCAGTGCCACTAAAAGCCCCCCCCCCCCCTGTATCAAGGGTCAACTGTATTACCATAATATAAAGTTTAATATTACTTCTAGGTAATCATTATAGTAGAATTCTAATATGTTCTTCATGCACAACAGTGGTTGATTTTGGTGATGCACCACACTATGGAAGTCACTGCTCTAAACTGTAACCACCTCAAAAGCAGAGATTATTTTTTAGTTTTTTAATTTTTTTAAAGAGAGAGAGGAAAAAAACATCAGTTTATTGTTTTACTTGTTTTTGCATTCATTGGTTGATTCTTTTTTATATAATCTTTTTAATTTATTGAGTTGAGAGATAGAGAAAGGCAGAAGAGGGAAGTGGGAAGAGGAGAGGGAAAGGAAGGGAGAGGGAGAAGGAGAGGGAGTGATTTGTTGATGCATTCATTGGTTGCATCCTGTATGTGTCCTGACTGTGATGAATCCACAACCTTGGCATATTGGGATGATGCTGTAAGTAACTGAACTACTCAGTCAGAACCCAGCAGAGATTTTAATTCATCATTGTAACTGTGCCCTGTTAGAGAATAGTAGGTAAAGCAATAAAAGTTTGAAACAGACTTTTCTGTGATGTTTGAAGGTAATTTGGAAGTTTGTGGTGGATATACTACTTACTCGTATAAATTTGATATTGTGCTGGCATTTATTTAAGATTCTACTATTATGAGAAGAAAACGAATTGTTGAAAATAAACAAAGAAATCTTTTAGAGCAGAGAAAACAAAACCTTGGATCTGTAGGACAGAAGTGCAGTGAGCAAATGAATGTAAGTACATTATTAGTAAAAATCTCTATTGAATGGTGGAAAATTGCTTGGAAAACAGACTGTTCTGTTCAAGGATTCTGCTCTTGCTATAAACTGTGCCCCACAACAGAAATATAAGTATACCCAAAGTCATTGTCAAGCAACCCTGGAATCTCTATGCTGGGAGCTTGCTGTACTATAATTATTTGTTACTAGAGGCCCGATGCATGAAATTCGTAAAAGAGTAGGCCTTTCTTCTTCCGGCTGTTGGCATCAGCTTCCCTCTGGCACCCAGAACCCGGGCTTCCCTCGCGGTCCCAGTTGTCTGGAAGGATGTCTGGTCTAATTAGCATGTTACACTTTTATTATTATAGATGTGGTCAGCTCTGGGGGAAAAACTGAGGTTATTCACAGTAAAGTTATTTAAATATACATTACGAAATTAGATGCATGGGTAGAGGAAGCAAGTGCTAGTATGCTAATCATAAAGACTAATATAGTTTCCTGTGTTTAAATATCCTGTTTGGTCTGAGTTTCCTGGAAGACATGGTAAAAAAAAAAAAAATAGGATGTTATACTGGTCTCATCAGATATTGATAATGAATTTGTTTGAGTTATACTATTTAAAAGACATTTACCATTGAGGATCTTCTATAGTGAACTTTGAAGTTCATAATGGACATAACCCTATTAATAATAACAAATGATTAGGAAGTTTCATATGGCTGTTTGAAATAGACATCTCCAATAAAAGTCAAAAGCACAATACTATTAATTTTAAAATCAGTGAAGATAATTCTATCAGAGCTAAATAAATGTGACCTAGATATTACATTTTCTAAGGGTCTATCTTGATCCAAAGATTGAATATAAAATATTAAAAATTCTAGATATGTGAGTGAATAGCATTTTATTTGGAGTTTCTACTATAAATATAACTTTAATGTTTTTTTAATAAAACTGGAATAGTGCCTTATGAGGAATTTATATTTCAAGTTATAGGTTGATGATCCTATTATTTTATATTGTAAAAACTATTGATTTTTATGTGAACAAATTTATTAATATGGAGAACAATTGAGCATGATATATCTTATCAGCAAAAAATCATTTATTTAAGTAAATTAAGTTGTCCTTTACCAATATATTCTTATTGCTTAACATAAAACATAGTACTTATTATAAACCTAACTTCATGTTTATAAATATTAAATCCTTTTTTAACTTCCATGTTATTCACATCAAACATCTCAAAATCTATAAACTTAAAAAAATTTATTTTTTCTTTATTTTTATTAATATAGCTTAAATTTAAATGTAGTTATAAAAAATTCCACAAACTAAATTTTAAATGGCTGTTATTTGTGCCCTCTCTAAATTTATCTTTATTTTTCTGGTTTTATGCTGTTCTTCTGTCATCCTCCTTTATATTTTATATTAGTCTTTAGAATTCTATTTTTGTCCTTCTTTCCAGAAGCCTTACTTCCACTTTCATTCACACACCCACTTTACACATGTTCTGAAGTTAGCTTTAGAATACAGGTCCGTATTCCTGAGGCAAAATCAAATTTGAAATTTAATTTTTCAATTTCATTGTTTTGCTTTGATTTGGGGTTTTGTGGGAGTGTGGAGGGTGTTGTATTTTGGTTTTAGTTGAACTGTGGGGTTCAGTTACTATAGCACTGGCCCCTGTCACCTTGTGTTAGAAAATGTATTTTGTCATCCCTCATTTTTCCCAGCCCACCACTTCTGTGTGGAGAATCTAAAAGATCAGTGAAAGACAGAAAAAGCACAATTACCACTTTGTGCCACGGTCTCAGTCCAGGGTGTCTCAAGTCTATAATGAGGATGAGGCTAGGCTATGAGAACGACTGAGGGAGGGCTGTTGAGGAAACCTGCATCAGCTACTCTTCAGAACAAAATGATCAAAGGTGAGGTATGGTTATAGCCAGGCAGTTTTATCAGTGAAAAAGTCATTTCTTTAGATAGATAGATAGATAGATAGATAGATAGATAGATAGATAGATATTATTGATTTTTTTACAGAGAGGAAGAGAGAGGAATAGAGAGTTAGAAACATCAATGAAAGAGAGACATTGATCAGCCGCCTCCTGCACACCCCCTACTGGGGATGTGCCCGCAACCAAGGTACATGCCCTTGACCGAATGGAACCTGGGACCTTCCAGTCCGCAGGCCCGTTGCTTTATCCACTGATCCAAACCGGTTTCGGTGAAAAAGTCATTACTTAAAGTGAAACAGGAGTAAAGAAGCAAAGTAGAACATATCCAGGGAAGGAGCGTGGGTATTCCTGAGTGCTGAATGGATGTACTGATGGCCAGAGCTCTGAGATTTCCCATTTCCCGGTTCTATGCAGCTCTTTCTGCTTTAAGTTTTGTCACTATAATACTTAACCTATTCTTGTCTTAGGCATAATCCAAGGCTTTAGGCTGGCCATAGTGATTCACCTGTACTATGATAAATAAAGTAAATAAATAAACATTAAGGTAGTTTTTAACTTTTCTTTAACATTTTTGATTACCACCTAAATTACTTCTTTCTTCCAAATATCCAAGACAACACTGCAACCTGAAAAGTTTTCAAAATTAAAATTAAACATTTTTAAAAATATTTAGGTACTATAAAAAGGTCTTATCTCAGTAATTATCGATTAATATTTTAAGAAAATATATATAATTTACATGATTAGTGATAACTGAAAATATATATAGCAAATAGCACTTTTCCTGACTTTTTAAAGACAATGTATATATCATGAAATTTAAATACAGACTTATGTTGATTTAATATTCTATTTTTATAGAATTTTGGACAAAGGGTCCAACTAAGTTCAAGTAAGCCAAAAGAAGCTACACTGGATACTTCTAATATTGAAGAAGGTATGTTTTAGCTTAAACATTTTCCCCTGACCAGGGGATTTTTTTTTCTTATATGAATTTTCCCAAATACTAACATAATATGTGAGTGTTCAAGTACCACTTGGGACTTAATTCTCCTTCCCCTGCTCATTTAGATTGTTGCCAGTTTTTCTTTATTCTAAGTTGTAATGTACCAAACATTTCTATACTTGAGGCCTGGTGCATGGAAAATTCATGCACTCAGCAGGGAGGGGGAGCTGGGTGTGTCCCTCAGTCTGGCCTGTGCCCTCCTGCAGCCCTTAGCCTTCGGTCAGACATCCTTGGCAGTGCTGTGGAGGCAAGAGAGGCTCTTGCCACCACTGCACCCTTTCCAATCTGGGACCCCTCAAAGGACATTCATTGGAATCGGGCCTAAATGGGCAGTCGGACATCCCTCTCAATCCAGAACTGCTGGCTCCCAACTGTTCGCCTGCCTGCCTTCCTGATTGTCCTAACCGTTTCTGCCTGCCAACCTAATCACCCCCTAAGTACTCCCCTGCCAGCCTGATTGATGCCTAACTGCTCTCCTGCCAGCCTGATTGTCCCTAACTGCTCCCCTGCCAACCTGATTGCCGTCCCCTGCAAGCCTGGTCACCTCTAACTGCCCTCCCCTGAAGGCCTGCTCATTCCTAACTGCCCTCCCCTCAGGCCTGGTTCTCCCCAACTGTTCTCCCCTGCAGGCCTGGACCTTTCAGTCCGCAGACCGACGCTCTACCACTGAGCCAAACCGGTTTCAGCCAATAAAATATATTTTAAAAATAAATAAATAAACATGTTTTCAGTATTTTATAGGGATTTCTCCATTATTTTTTTTTTAGCTCAAAAAACCTTTTCAATATAGAAATTTAGAAGTGTTTCTTTTTCCTTTAGATTAAATTTAATTCTTTAATTTCTTTGGAATTTGTTTAAATGGATGATGTGAAATGAAACTCCACGTTGATTCTTTTTAAATAACAAGCTAATTTTTATCTTTTTTTTTATCTCATCTTTGATCAAGTATTAGGTTCTTATAACTAATTTGATCTGTTTCTAGGTTGTCCTGTTCAGCTGATTATCTCATTTTCTAATCTTCCTTTAAGTTTATTTTCTCTTACTCTTTTATTTATAACTCATCTTAATTGCTGTTGCAAAGACAGTCTACTTTATTTCCTCTTTGTACTACAAACGAATGACAAAACTACACAAAATAATTTTAACAGAATGTATTTTTTCTTTACTTCAGGTAACACTTTATAGGACATTGTTATGTCCTCAATGCCATCATTTGGATATCTTTTTTTTTTTAAGTTGTGGATGGGGAAATGCTAAATATAGAGGGTTCTGATAAGCAAAATGCAAAGTAACAGAAGATTCACTGGGTTTCTGTTAGTGAAATGAATAGATATAGACATGTCAGTTAAGTATGTATACATGCTGATCCTAAAGACAAATAGGAATCAAAGAGTAGTTAATGTTAAGTTTCTTTAGTTTCAGACAGTACTTCTGAGTTTTTGATGGCTGAAAACCTAGTGAAATCTTCAGTGACTGTGGATGACATTCTGTCTGTCATGAGTAACAAGCAGCTACAGAAAACAAATCTGGCTTTAAATAAGACCCAGCAATTGGACATCTGTGCACTATCAGCTGAAGAGCAGAAGGTCCTACAGTCCCTTAATCGCCTCAATGAAAGGTTATTCTGTAAGTGTGGGAGAACACCTTTTGTAAGAGGGTTACATTTTCTACTTACTATTTTAATTTAAAATTTAATTTAGCTTAAGTATTAAAAATACAAAGTGTATCCAGATTATCACCTCTTAAATCAAGTAAATAGCAATTAAAAAATATACTTGAATATGCCATACTATTACACCATACTCATATCCTGTTTATAAATAAGATATTTAAAACATAAGGATATGGAAAAGCTTAAAATAAAAAAGATGGAAAATAAATTTTAACAAGCAAATTCTAACCAAAGGAAACTGGTTTAAATGTATTATTATCAGACAAATTTGACTATAAAGCAGAAAGCATGGCTGTACAGATAAAAGAATAACTTTGTGATGGTCAAAAGTTGTAGTTCCAGAGAAATATATACATATTTTCACTTTGTATGTATTTAAGAACATAGCCTCAAAATATGTAAAATATTTTTAGCCATGGTGAGAGATTTTTTTTACATTGTTAGTAATTGATATAGACCAAAAAAATCAAATAGATATATAAGAATCAAACATGATTAACAAACTTGATCAAAATACATATAAAATATTTACAATAATGGACCATATATTATGCTACTGATTTCATAGGAAGTTGGATTTAGGCACAGCCCTCTCACATGGATCCTGTTTTTGGATCCTAGCTATGAAGAACTTATGGGGTCATTTTGGGACAAGCTGTTTGTCTTTCCATATTGGATACAAAATAGAAAATTAAATTGAATCCCTACCAAGATACCATACATAAAAAGAAGTTCCAAGATTAAATGTAAATGAAAATATATAAAGCTTATAAGAGGATAAGTATTTTCTAGCCTTGGGATAAGGACAGATTTTTAAACAGAGCAAAAGGAACATAATCCATAGAGGAGAAAATAAATTTGATTATATCAAAATCACAAACTTCTGTTCATATCAAATGTCATTAAAAGTATGTAAAGACAGTTCACAAATAAGAGAAACTATAATACATAGGATAAAGGACTCATTCAAAATATGTAAAGAATTATAATTCAATAAGAATAAAAGACAACTCAAAAAAATAGGAGAGCCTGGCCAACATGGCTCAGTGGTTGAGCATCGACGACCTCTGAACCAGGAGATCATAGTTCGAGTCCCAGTCAGAGCACATGCCTGGGTTGTGGGCTCAGTCCCCAGTGGGGGGTGTACATGTGGCAGCCAATCAATGAGTCTTTCTCATCATTAATGTTTCTATCCCTCTCCCTTCCCCTCTGAAATCCATAAAAATATTTTTTAAATAGGAGGGAAAAGACTTGAAGAGGAATTTCACAACAAAGGAAATGCAAATGACAATAAACATTGATAGATATTCACCTTCATTCGAGATAGGAAAATGCAAATTAAAAGAATGAGATATATCCTCATCAAAAAGAGCTAAATTTAAAAGCCTGGCAATGCTAAGTGTTGGTCAAGATGCAAACAACTGGAGCTCACCTATAATGCTGGGGCAACCTGTTTGGGAAATGTTTTGCCACCACTTAATAAACTGAACATAAACATATCCGACAACCAGCAATTTCACTTCCACATGCATATCCTAGATAAAGCCCTGCACATGTACATCAGGAAACTTGTTAAGTATATAGAGACAATCAAAGCCAAACTTTGAAAATTTTAAATGTTCTGGGAATACCAGCCAGCAAGGAAAATTAACATCTACAAATATCATCATAGATGAATCTAGGTAATATATAATGTTGAGGAAAGTCACAGGAGAATAAAGACAGTCCAATTTAATTTATATGAAGTTCAGAAATGGGCAAAACTAAACAGTATTCTTTGGGGGTTGTATACATATGTGTTAAAACTATGAAGGAAGTCGGAATACTAGGTTACCTCTGTGTGAACCAGGGAAAGGAGTGCAATCCACAGGGCACTATAGAAGGGATATTGTTCAACTTTATTAATCTAGGTGGTTATACAGACATTGGCTATATAATTCATTAAAATATGCATGTATTATATACTCTGTTAATTCTAAAATTAAATCTTAAAATATATTAATAAAATGGTACTACAACACAAAAGCAATATAGAACTAAAACTGTGAGTTTAAAATGCAAAATTATGCAGAAAAAGGTAAAAAACCCTCAAGTCAGTTTTTAAGTAGGGGTTTTTTTCTATTATATATTTCCATATATTTAAATGCTTCCTGCTAAAGGTTCTGCCTGAAATTTTCTTGCTTTTGCCAGACCCTTGCTATCATATAGACAGAAGCCTAAATATTGAAAAGGCAAGAGTCGAACTTTTTTGTGTCTCTATAACAAAATAAACATATCTTTCCTAAGATGTTCCAAGAATGAAATTTATTTCTTTGGTGTGTTTTTTTTATTTTTTTATATATATTTTTAATTGATATTTTACAGAGAGGAAGGGAGAGAGATAGAGAGCTAGAAACGTCAATGAGAGAGAAACATCGACCAGCTGCCTCTTGCACACCCCCTACCGGGGATGTGCCTGCAACCAAGGTACATGCCCTTGACCGGAATCAAACCCGGGACCTTTCAGTCCGCAGACCGACGCTCTACCACTGAGCCAAACTGATTTCGACTCTTTGGTGTGTTTTTTCAAAGAATACAAGGAAAAAATGAAGAAAACCTAGCATTTGAATAAAGATTGTTATAGAATAATCAAAATACTAAAATTACATTTTTATCACCATAAGTTTTATGTATTATTTTTAATCAAATTCTATTCCCTACTCTAATATAAGTCTAAAGACTACTTCTGGGAATAATAGAAAAAAGTCTCTTTTTACTCAATGTTGAATATTTTGTTACATCAGAATTTAGTATTTGATTTAGTCATTCTTCTCTCTCAATAAACATAGCAATTATATTTTGTATTATTATAATTATTTCAGATGTACAAGCAACCATTTGCAAAAATCCATCCATTAAAAATGCTTTACAAATAATGCCATTGCTGGTAAGTATTTTAAGAAGGTGTTTTGTTTTGTTTTCCTTTTTAGGAAACTTCATGATTGTATATATAAGAATCCTATATTGATATAATTTTTGAAATTAGTTTTTAGGGAGTTTTTCTCCTCAATCAACTTTCAATTATAAGACATTCTCTTAGAATCTAGCAAATATCCTCTCATTAAAAAAAAAAAAAACTGTAAGTATTTTAATATCCGGAGTGTTTCATCAGTCATGAGAACAGGAACAGGTATCAGTGTGCTAGTTTTCAAATAATTTTAGATATGTAGCCTAATTGGAAAATTGTTAAGAAATTTCATTGGCAATGATTCCATCATTGCCCATATCCTTTCCATGTCTTCAGAGTTCAAAACTAGACCCTACTGCTTTGAATTTTGTTTTTACCTTGGCATTGGATCCTGGTAAAGATTATATATACGAAAAACAGTGAGTCAAGAATTTTCAGTCTAAAGGAGAAAGACACACATGGACAGTATATCCAGGGAAATAATACAGGTAAACTAAGACTGTGCTGCATAGTCTTAGGGAGTCACAGGAAGAAGAAATCATGTCTGCCTAGAAGTGATAGGAGACATTCAGGTTTATAAAAGGCACATCCTCAATTTAGGTCTTCAACAAAGAAATGTTTTGTTAGAGAATTAATTGCATGTTTGTTCAATTGTTTTCCCATTATGTACTCCCAATTCTGAAATCTTGACAGGAAAAAAGAAGATTATGCAGTATACTTCATTTCTTACTTTTACATGAAGTTATACATTTATCTGCATTTCAGATTTCTGCATGCTCTGAGTAAAGTGGTGAATAATAGGAAGTATAAAAAGACTGTCCTTGCCTCCTGAAGATCTTTTAACCACTGGACACATGTTTCTTAGAAATAGTCTTTCTGATGTGGCATTTATGATGCTGTAATTTAAACACAACTCATTTGGCAGTGGTTACTTTGACTCCTGGTATATTATTTTTCATGGCTACTTTTTACATGCTAATTTGGATTTTTTGACCAAATTTTCATTTCTATCAATTCAGCAAACTAAGTAATTTTTGCAGTGATAGTTTTTCTGTGTCTGAATTTTAACTGACAATGTTCAGTATATTAGCACATTTATGGTTCTTACCTCACTTTGAGAGTAAGACCTGCAGTAACTGAGATCACTCTCCTATACACCTCAGCTCAACTTGAAAACAGTATACTAACCACAGATGACTAACTGATCATGAATTGTAAATACTCAATAGGAAGAGAAAGTTACCTAATCAGCAAATTACTCTACTGAATACATTGATGTTATTATATTGCTAGAGTAGCTGACAAATAACTGAAAAGTTAATGATGAGAATTAGGGACCCAGCTGAGGGACCCCACTGGTGTACCATCAGGGCTGGAGAAGGATCAGAGGAGGGCTCCGTGGAGCTCTGGCCCATCTCACCCAGTCCTGATTGGCCAGACCCCAGCAGCAAGCTAAGCATCTGCCCTCTGGTAATCAGTGTGTGTCATAGCAACTGGTCGAAAGGTTGAACAAATGTTTGGACACTTTTATTAGGCTTTTATTATATAGGATGTCTAGCTTTACAATTGACAATGTATTGTGTATCGAATAGTTAATTCAGAAACTGAAGTTCTCAGCTTAGCAAGAATTCTTACCACAGAAAAGTACTGGATTCCTACCATAGAAAAGTACTGTGTTGCCTGGTTGGTGTGGCCCAGTGGTTGTGCATAAACCCATGAACCAGATCACAGTTCAATTCCCAGTCAGGGCAAATGCCCAGGTTGTGGGCTCAATCCTCAATAGGGGGTATGCAAAAGGCAGCTAGTCGATGATCCTCTCTCATCATTGATATTTCTGTCTCTCTTCCCTCTTCCTTCCTTTCCCTGAAACCAATTTAAAAAAAAAACACACACATATTTTAAAAAGAAAAGTACTGTGCCAATTGTTGTCACACATATTCTATTTGTTTAATCTTCTAAATTAGGTACATCAAATAATGTCCTCAAATCCTAGAGCTGGTCAGTGGCAGAGCTCGGATTTACACTTTCCCCTCACTGCCTCCACAACCCCACAAACTATGTTCTACTTTTTATAATTATCTTTATGGTTGAAACTATTATAGATGCCCCCTCCTTTTTTTTTTACATTGACCCCCTCCATCTTGCACCCTCCCAGGCCTTCACTACACTATTATCTGTGTCCATGGGCAGTGTGTGTGTGTGTGTGTGTGTGTGTGTGTGTGTGTGTATAGCCTAAGCAACTGTTATGACCAGATGACCGGCTGGTAGTTATGACATGCACTGACCACCAGGGGGAAAATGCTTAACACAGGAACTATCCCCTGGTGGTCAGTGCACTCTCACAGCCAACCTCCCATAGCCAGCCAACCTCCCTTGGTCCCTCCCCCTGGCTGGCCAGCCCCAATTGGCCCCAACTGAGACTGGGTGAGACGCCCCTGATCAGCCCCAGTTGTCAGCCAAATAGAGGGACTCCACCTGTGCACAAATTTGTGTACTGGGCTTCTAGTATGCATATAAGTTTCCCGTTAATCTCTCCACACCCACCCCTGGATTCCCTCCAAAATTCATCAGTCTGTTTCATGCTTCTATGTCTCTGAATCTATTTTGTTCATCAGTTTATTTCTTGTTTCAATTAATGACACCATCATCCACCATATTTCCCAGATAAAAATTAGAAGTCTCATCCAAGCTTCTCATTCTCTCATTAAATCTTCCAGTAACACTAAGTGCTTCTCAAATCCATTCACTCCTCTCCATTCTTTACTGATAGTGTCTTAGTTTAAGAATTCATCATGTCTCTTCTGGGCCATTTCAACCGCCTCTAGGTTTGCTCTCTCCAGTACATCTTACACCCTATTACTACCAGAATAACTCTTTTTAAAACATGAACATATCACTCTCCTGCTTAACACCTAACCTCAGTGGTTACCAATTACCAAAAAGACAAAACTCAGGAGAACTGCAGTCAAGAACCTTTCCATTTTCACCTCCATTTGCTTCTCAGCTCAGAACTGGCACACTGCTGAGTACAGGCTGATCCCAGAACTCTGCACCTTCCGGGGCCCGTGCTGCTCCCACTGCCTCACAGGGATTGCTCTCTTAAGAGCCTTTCTCTTACTCTTTGAGAATTGGCCTTAGTGTCATCCCTTCTAGAACAGCTTGTTCAGCCCAAGCTTTGCCCTGTCCAAAATTAATATGTCCTGTCCTTTTGGCAACCATAGCAGTATGATTTTTTTTTAAAGTTATATTGGTCTCTTCATTGACTAGATAGTGCCTAAAAATCTTGCCATGTGCCGGGCTCTCTGCTAGGACTGAGACTAGGAAGAGGAAAACATTTCCTGTTCTCAAGTTACTTATATTCTAACAGAGATAATATGCAAACAGTGTAGTGTAGTAGAGTTACTGCGGGGCATCCTCAGGGCACCTGCCATGACTTTTCAATGTAAAAACTATGAATTTTATAAAGCAGAATTTTCATTTGGAATATTTTACTTACTTTTTAAAATAAATTTAATGCATTCTGGACAATTACCTTTCAAGCAACTTCTTTAGCCCAATGCATGTTGTTAAACTACTCCTAAGGTACTATATGAGTTACAAGTACTTGCTGTAGAAAATAAAATTATTAAATTTTAAACATTTACACATCAGATTATGATTTTAAAAACCTCTTAAACAACTTTTACCAATAGCAAAGAGTGAATTTTATGAATTATTGTAATTAGTCAGATGTCTTACATAAGGTGGTATTCTATGTTCAGATTAATGCATATGTAGCATTTGAGAGTTTTCATTATGCATTTAACCTTATTAAAATCTGTAATCTTTAAGGAGATCCACTGCAAAGTCCATAATACAACAGTAAAAGAATATTCTGAAATTATGTTACAGAACATGCAGCCAAGGACCAGTCTGTCCCCCAACCTTGGATCCAGATTGCACAGAAAATACTGATGAAATGTACCAGTAACTATTAAATGAAATGAAATCACTATTTTTTAAAACCTGTAAATATATCATTTATTTATGTATTTTGTTATGATTAAAACACTATAACCATAAAATAAAGGTAAAGTATAACATGGGTAATAGAAATAAATTAACTAGTTTACATTTTTGTTACAAATTACACTTTATTATGTATTTTTATTGATAATATATTTTTAATGAGTGGAAATATTGTTTTTCATGAGTATGCTACTGGAAATAAATTCATTATATTTAAAAAGAAAATAAAGGCTAATTGGTTATTCAAATTATTAGCTACAGTTAAGAAGCTTTGTTTTTCTGAAATTTCCAATAAATCCTATTAAATTTGTGTACAGTGGTATATGAAGTTTATAATTAATATCTGTCATTAATAGTAAAACTATTTGTTTAGGACTTTGAAGGATCTCCATACTTTGGAGTTGTTACCAAGGAGTCTTGTTTTCAATTCTGCATGTCAGAAATTAATTATCATTTTAATTTTTGTTGGTGTCTAAAGAACTGACTTCACTAGCAAAGCTCACAGGGTAAATGGTAAATATAAAACAACTGCAGTCCCCACTGGATTACTTGAATTGCCTAATCAATATGTTCTTTTCCCAGGAGACATGTCTTTTGGGGAAACCAGTTATATTAGAAGGTTGGTTTTTTGTTTGTTTTGGTGTTTGGTTTTGGTTTGGGGTTTTTGCCACAATTTTTTTTTTTTAATCTTTATTGTTGAAAGTATTATATATGTCCCCTTTTTCCCATATTTACTTCTTCTAGCCTGCCTCTGCCCCACCCCTCACCTCACCCCAGGCCTTCACCACCCTATTGTCAGTGTCCATGGGTTATGCAAATATGCATACAAGTTCTTCCCACCCATCCCTGCCTTCCTCCGAGATTTGACAGTCTGTTCCATGTTTTTATGTCTCTGGATCTAGAAGGTTGTTTTTTAAAGTATAGAAACAAAGACAAAAGTTATATAATTTCTAAAAAATATGTATAGAATTATGACAGTCTCATACATCCTTTTATTTCCCCTCAACTGTTTCTACTTCATACTTTCATCTAGACTTTTCCAAGCTGAATTTCTTAACTTTGGCATTTCTAACATGTGAGCAAAATGGCCCAAGTGAAAATGTTTCATCAATCTCCTCTTAAAGGTTTTCAGAGCTTCCCGTTCAGCGACTGGAGGAAATGTGCACTCCTTATTATAATATCTAAGGTTCTTCACATTCTGAGTCCACATTGCTTACTTGGTACCACCTCTCCCACCTTTCCCACCACATAACTTACTCCAGTTACCAACGTCTTTACAGTTCCCAAATGCCATCTACTATTTCCTGCCTCTGCCTGCACATATACTATACCCTTAGCTTGGAATGCCTTCCCACTCATTCTTCCTATACGTGCCTGATAAACTGTTATTTATTACTTTTTCAATTTTTTCCAATAATCCTCTCTACACCCTCCTCTCTTTAATTACCTCCTTTATATGCTGAATCTTAGTTCTGTGTGTGTGTGTGTGTATGTGTGTGTGTGTGTGTGTGTGTGTGTGTAAGTCTGTTCTTCTAAATGAAGGGCTCCTAGAAGGTAAAGATTGTCATTCATTTCTGTGCCCTTTGGAATTAAAATAGGGTAGATAGTGGCAGATTAAAATAATGAATAAAGGAAAAAAATCATTTATTCAATTATCTAGTCCCTATTATGTGCTAGATACTGCTCTATGTGCTAGGAAGACAATGAAAGATAAAAGTAAGTATTTGCCATCATGGTGCTTAAAATCTGGGTATACAGATTTTAAAACAAGAATATACCATTAAAAAAGAATATACCATCAAATAGTTATAAAGTATACTGAATGAGCCTAACCAGCATGGCTCAGTGGTTGAGTGTTGACTTATGAACTGGGAGGTCATGGTTGGATTCCCTGTGAGGGCATATGCCCAGATTGTAGGCTCAATCCCGATGTGGGATATGCAGGAGGAAGCCAATCAATGATTCTCATTGTTGATGTTTCTGTCTCTCTCTCCCTTTCCCTTCCTCTCTGAAATCATTAAAAAGTATATTTAAATAAATAAAGTATACTGAATGAAAATCAGAGAATGGTAAGGGGACAGAGAGTCATGACTGTACTATTTTACATAGAGAGATAGAGTGTCAGAGAATGTCTCTGAAAAGGTGACAATCTGATCAAATATCTTAGTGAAGTAGGAAAACTAACCTTGATGACAGTGGAAGAATAGCATTCTACACAGAGTGAACAAGTCCAAAGGACCTTATACAGGAGCATGCTTAATATGTTTAAGAAATAGAAAGGCTGTCTGCTTGGTGTGGCTCAGTAGGTTGGGAATCATCCCATGCACCAAAAGGTTGCCAGTGCAATTCCCCGTCAGGCCCCATGTCCAGGTTGTGGTCTCCGTCCCCGGTAGAATACATGAAGGAGGCAGCCAATCGATGTTTTGCTCTCACATTGATGTTTCTCTCTCTCCTTTTCCCTTCTTTTCTTTCTAAAAATCTATTTAAAATTTTAAAATTCTTTTTTTTTTTTTTAATAAATAGAGAGTAGAAAAGAGATAATAGGATATCACTGGCAATTTTATGGTAATAAACTACAAAGTTAGACAAAATAGAAGTGGTAATCAGAATAATGGTCCCCCAAGAAGTCCATGTGTTTTTCCTCAGGATTTGTGAATATATTACTTTACATGGCAAAAGGAAATTTGCAGATATGACTAAATTAAGGATCTTGAGATAGGGATATTATCCCACATTATCAGTTTGTCCAATGTGTAATCATAAGAATCCTTGTAAGTGAAAGAGGAAGGCAAAAGAATCAGTATCAGAGTCAGAGCAAGATTTGAATATGCTAAATTGCTGGCTTTGAAGATAGTGATGGAAGAAGACATGACTTGGGGTGGTGAACACACAATGCAATATACAGACAGTGTATTATAGAAGTGTATACCTTAAGCCTCTATAATCTTATTATCCAATATCACCTCAATAAGTTCAATTTTTTTTTAAAGTTCAATAGAGCCCAGCCAGTGTAGCTCCATGATTGGTCATCAACCCATGAACCAAGAGATCACCAGTTCCATTCCCATTCAGGGCACATGCCCAGGTTGTGGGCTCAGTCCCCAGTAGGGGCATGCAGGAAGCAGCTAACTGATGTTTCAATCTCTCCCTCTCCAAAATCAATAAATAAAAACATATTTAAAAAAAAATTTTTTAAAGTTCAATGGGAAACTAGACAAGAAAGTACTGTCATACAAAGGAGTGAGTTTTGTGGGACTGGAATCAGGTGTCATTTCTTTTTGGTCCTAGAATAAAGAAAATTTGCACCTAAAAATGAATGAATTAGTGAATGACTGAGTGAGTTCCTGGCTTTAAATATGGAGGAGGGGCCAGAGACAAGGAATGCAGGTGGCCTCGAAGTGGGAAAGGGCAGGAAACATGTTTTCTCCTAGAGTCTACAGAAGTAACTAAGCCCTGTAAACACTTTAGTATCTTTTGTCCAAGATATCACTTGTAATGAGTTTTTTAATTATATTGGACTCAGAGTCCAACAGGTCCCAGTGTGTCTTCACTCTTCCAGCCACCAACCCTGCTGACCAGCAGTAGCCCCCGCCCACCCTCATGTGCTGGCTGCACCCCCTCAAAGACAGCTTCTGCTAAGCCAGTGGTCGGCAAACTCATTAGTCAACAGAGCCAAATATCAACAGTACAACGATTGAAATTTCTTTTGAGAGCCAAATTTTCTAAACTTAAACTTCTTCTAACACCACTTCTTCAAAAAATAGACTCTCGTAGGTCCTGGTATTTTGTGGAAGAGCCACCTCAAGGGGCCAAAGAGCCACATGTGGCTCCAGAGCCGCAGTTTGCCGACCACGGTGCTAAGCAGTTTTCCCCGCCTGAGGCAGTTTCCGTAGATTTCTTCAAGCTCCCTCTTTATGTTTCCACCTTGGGCATGCATGGATGATAAGATGTTCCTGCAAGCTTCAACTTGCCTGCTGACACCAGTTCTTCAAGCAGCCCGAACCCTGTTTCTCTGACTCTCACTGGCATTCCTCACTAATGCAGGCTAGATTTTCATCCCCTTCACCCTGTAGTCTGGCCTTTCAATTCTCCCCTTCCGACCATTTTCCTAGCTCCTCACATACTTAGTAAAATGTTATTCCTGTAATCAACCCTTTAGTCCCATAATTCTTATGATGACTTTTTGTTTTCTTGACTGATGCAGTCTGTTGGGAGAGACAAATAAGCAGGCACTTTTAAATCGGTGTAAAAAGTGCTAACTAACCTCACAAGCTATACATACACATGAAAGATGAATGACATTCCAAAATCTGAAAAAGAGCTTTAGAGTTCGCCAAATGAGTATTGCTTCAGAAAATGAAAAGGAGAAAAGAACGTCCCAGTGTAGATGAGACACAGGGCCGGGGAAGAGTAAGAGGAGAAACTGGAAGGGGAAGCAGGGGCTAAAGTACTATATAGATTTCCCTCTGAAGCAACCTAACAGCATGATTGTGGGTATCATTTATAAATTTATCTAGTGACATTCCAGTGGGTGAACAGGTTGGAGGGGTGTGCCATAACGTTTGTGAGGCATCCCAAGCACCTCAAATTAAAACTAACCTTTATTTTTAAAATTAGTTGTATTTATATTCTATTATAGATGTACTCAGCAGCTTCCTGAGTACATGATCTGGCGATCACCTTCACAATTAATAATCTCTAATACTTTTCATTAGTTCACCAAAGAATGTTTTTACAAACAAAGGATGGTTAGAAATACTTAAAATTAGAGCTGGTCAGAAAATTAGAGCTGGTCAGGCATTGTCCAATACACAGAAAGGTTGCTGGTACAATTCCCAGTCAGGGCATATGCCTAGAATGCTTACAATAGTATGGACATTTTAATAATGTTAATTCTACCAATCCATGAACCCAGTATTCCTCCACTGGTTTATATCTTCCTCTACCATTTTTTTTCAATATCCTGTAGTTTTCTGAGTACAGGTCTTTTACCTCCTTAGTTAAGTTTATTTATAGGTATCTTCATGTTTTTATTCCAATTATAAAGGGGTATTGTTTTTCAGTTTCTCTTTCTGTGGGTTTATTATTGGTATATAAAAATGCCATAGTTTTCTGGGT